CACGTGGCGTCGCGCCAGACAACCATCCGACCAATCAATCAACCGGTCGTCCCAAGACACACCCGACCCCGTGCCCGGCCATTTCGAAAAAGAAGTGACGAAAAAAAAGGACGAAAAAGCGAGGACACTGATGCAATTCTCCACCGACCCCGATTTCCTGTAATTGGCCCAATCTTCCCAGATTGGGACCCCTCACTGCAACCGTGCAGAAAAATCGTGCGTTACAAAAAGTGGTTCGTCACAATACAGCTGAAACCTGGGGATTTGCTCTTGATCGTTGATCCGGGCTGTGGTTGGGATAGGTTTGGCTGAAAATGCCTCGCTTAGCCCGTTTGGCCGCAGCAAATGATGTAAGAGACACCGGGACCGGACCCGGTGTTGCGGCGGACGAAATCGTGTCCGCCATCTTTGGGCCTGTGGGAGACCCAGGCCAGCCATTTCCCCAAGGCGGGCGTGGCCCTGTCGCGGGCGCGCAACGTCATTAAGCCGTGAAAGTTAAAGCGTGCGAGGACCCCAGCCATTCGAATTCAAAATCCGCGCCACCAGTTTGCTTCGACCACATCGGATTCTGGACTCCTCGCCCTCGCGTTCTCCACAGTGTATGTGGCACTCATCCACCATTATGCCAGCGCATGTGGCTTCGCGTGACTGCCGTGTGCCTTGTTTACGCAGCGGAGTCCGGCTCTGGACAGCGGTGGGTGCGACGAGGCGGCAACGAGGAGATTGTCAACCAGTGAGAAGAGCATGGTCGCTAGTGCTGTCCTCGCGGTGACGACCACCACGGGGTGGCGGGAGGTGGGCGGTTTTGTTTGATCGAAACCGACGGGCTGTGCACACCACCCACAGTTCGCATTCGAAAGACGAGCCGCCAACGGCACTCGCACGCCCGCCTCCGCGGGGACCCCTGCAACCGTCGCCTCCACACGCAAGCCGAAATGGCTAAGCAGAGGGACCACAGGGCCACAGCCGGGCCACCGCACTACCCGTTGGAGGCTACCGTGGGACCGCCATCCCGCGGTGTACTGTTGCACAACTTCTATTTATCGCTCCGCGTAACAAGGGACGTACCGCACAGCAAAATCATCAGGCACTTGACAGTATGGTAGTACCGCCTAGGCCTGGTACTGCAAGTAGGACAACAGGTCAGACACAAAACTAGGCCCTAATACCGACTTGGAGGATCCAGCTGACTAAAAAACGTTTTGAATGCCTCGGGATTTGATTCCCTGTATGACTATATTTACCGGTAGTAGTAGTGGTAGGTAGGTAGTGTGAGGTGAAATTTGAGAGAAGAATGTCCCTATGCATTCGTAACCGGGGGTGGCGAGTCGTGCAATGCAACTACTCCTCGAGCCCACCGAACTAGAGAGTGGAATAAAACACTGCCAACTTTTATAGTGGTTTCGTTTCTGTCAGCAACGTGTTTGTGCGGTGTTTTACACCCACAACTCTTGTCTACGGCCGACAAGTGTCAGCGGGTGGGCCTTTTCGTTTTTTTCTTTGGCGCCTTTTTTAGCTTTTTTTTCTTTGCCGGCGTGAGGACGCCTGCTCTCGTTCCACCGCTGACCACAGGATGTTCTGGCAGTGACCAACGCGAACGACCGGTCGCTCAGTTCCTACACCCAGCAGTTCGTAGATTCGTTCTCTTGTTTTTTTTTTTACAAAAGCTATGTTCTTCTCACCTCACAATACCTACCTACCACTACTTCTAACCCCGTAGCAGCCAGAACCGTGTTGACGAGAGAACATGCGGGGGCTGCTCCCGACCTGCCGGTGGGCGATACCGGCTAGGGGTCAGCCGGTAGCATCATCGTGCATTTGGTGTGTAGTATATATATATATATATATATCGTTAAATAGAACTGCCCGGTAAACCGTAGGCATATATATATATATCTGTTTGTGATATATATATATATATCGTCACAAACAGAACTGCCCGGTAAAACCGTAGGCAGAGAGAGAGAAGAGGACAACAATTATATATATATATCCTCTTCTCCCTCTCTGCCTACGGTTTACCGGGCAGTTCTATTTGACGATATATATATATTCTATTTGACGATATATATATATATATATATATCGTCACAAACAGAAGTGCCCGGTAAACCGTAGGCAGAGAGAGAGAAGAGGACAACAAACGAGGGGCTGTGACAAACTGTTTCGTCGGAGTTTCACCGACTCATCAGGAGGMTGAACCCTCAACAGTCTGCAGAATCCCCTCACTGATTACACTGTAAATGATAATCTACCTTAACCAAAATCAAAGTAGACTATCACTCACCCACATCAGATGGAAAACTCTACAGACTGTCGGTTCACATATATATATCGGGAACGAAGGCTCTTTGGTTCCATTCGTTCCCAAGTTGCCGGTTTGGTGAGTGGTGACACGATGCCGTATACTGCTCACCGAGTCTGTAAAATGAGAATAAATGAACCTTCCGTTAGAAAGAAGAAAGGTACGTACGCCATATCTTTTCTTTTATGTGTTGTGCATGTGGTGTGGTGCGTAGTGGAGCGAGGGCCTCGCCGGACTGCTCTGAGCAAATGCACAAAAGATAAAATAAAAAATATACACCACTACTCACCACATGTTCTTGGTGTATGTATGGGCCTCGCTGCACTACTCTCGAAATGTGCAAAACGAGAGTGAATCGTCCGCTAGAATATGGAAAGATGCACCGCCATCATTTTTGTCTTTTGTGCATGTCGAGAGTAGTGCAGCGAGGCCCATCTCTCCATGTTCTTGGGAAAGAGAGTCAACCTCGTCCCGTCGCGTCTCGTCTCGTCTCGTTCGAGTCTCTTTGGAGGAGGGCTGGGCGCAGGGATCTGTTCTGATCAGTAAGGAGAAAAAAAAAGAAAAGAAATGAGGGTGTACTCACACTAGACTTTTTTTTTTTCGACTTCTCTGTGGACGTAATTTGCCGTCAGGTGCGTCTTACGTGGAGCGAGGCCTTCACATTTACATCCTGTCGTGGAAAGCCCTACCGTCTTCCCCCGAACATTACGGACCCTAAAAATGAATGTATACAAGCTATATTTCCGGCCAGATACGGCCAAAATGAGGGTGCGTTGTGTTCGGGGGAAGACGGTAGTGTGAGTATCCCTGATGGTGACGGCTATCAATCCTGAGCGAAGAAAAAAAAAAAAAAAAAAAAGGCTCCCATCTGGATTTAGGGCCGCACGATATCCCGGGGCGTGGTCCCACTAGCAAAGAGGATCGGATCGAATGCCTGAATCTGGACGAGTTTATGGAGAATGTGCAGGATATCGAGATTGAACTACTTTTCTGCAAAACTCATCCAGATTCAGGAGCTCGATCCTATCCTTTTTGCTAGTGGGACCTGGGCCCCGGACTTTGACGGCTATCAGTTCTGGACGAATCCAATCCCCCTCCAGTGTGATAAACCAACACACCAATCAATCACGCGAACGACCGTGGGTTGTGCTTAAGAGTTCACCTACTCAAACTACTAATTAACACACCAATCAATCAATTGATTAATCAATCAAGCAATCCATTGAACGGCGGCCGAGTTATTGCAGGAATAGGTCGGTGGTAGTGGTTTGTACTCCGGTACTGTCGGCGGCTGCGCCAGCGGCGGTAGGTAGCGGAGGAGACGTCGGGATCTTGGCACTGCCGATTGCGCGCCTATCTTTCGCGCCTGTCGATTGCGAAGCGCGTCAATCTTCAGCGCCTGTCGATTGCGAAGCGCGCCAATTTTTCGCGCGAGTAGTAGTGGATGGCGGTATCCATCTCCGCGGCTATCTCCGCGGGAGCGATAGGGGATAGGGGTGGAAAGCCGCCGCGCGTCCTCCCCCGCTCCTCTCCATCTTCCTCTTCCGCCCATCCCTCGACTGTTGCCCTGCGAGCGATGACACCTGGCATGGAGCTGAGGCGGTAGAGAGTAGAGGTCGTCCACCCAAGGATGCCTGACTGATTGGCTGTCTGCCAATCATCGTCTCTCGTCCGGACAAGGGAAGTAGCGAATCTTAGTATAGGCAAAGCTGTTCTCTGTAATAATTGTAATTGTAATTGTAATTGTAATTATAATTGTAATTTTAATGTAATTGTAATTAAAAGGAAGGGCTTGGCGCGCAGGGCGAAGCCGCGCGTCAGGGGGACGGGACGGGGCTCCGACTGATTTGCGGCTGCGGCCGGGGAAGTGATCGAATAGCAGACGCCGAGTTTGACGCGGGAGGGGGCGGGGGGGGGGGGGGGGGGAGGGAGGGACTTGTAATTGTAATTAAGCGGAGGGACTTGGCGCGCAGCGTTGAAGCCGCGTCAGTTGGATGGGACGGGACTCTGACTGTAAGTGATCGAATACCACACGGCGAGTTTGGTGGGCGGGGGCGGTGGGCGGGGGTAAGGGGAAGACTCCGACGCGTGTCACGTTGCCGGCCGGCCGGCCTTCGATGACACGTGGCAGGTTATTGACAGCCGAAAGGAGAAAGAGTGATTAAGGTGACACGTCGACTCGAAAGGGGAGGAGGGCAGGGCCTCGAGGGATAAGTGTCACGTGCTCGGCCGGCCGGCCGTTCAGTGACCGACACGTGACAGGCTGTCGACAGCACTTACGTTCCTCTTCCATCGTCCTCCTCGCAAAAGCTCCAACGAGGTAGCACAGCTGTCGTGGTTCCCTCCTCCTAGTGGAGGGAAGGAGATGGCAGCAATCCACGTGTCAGTTAGTGATTGCCCGGGAAAGCTAACCCCTTTAACCCCTTTTTCATTCCCCTCCTCCCCTCCCCCCTCCCCCCCTCTCTCTCGCCACCCCCTGAGCACTGATGCTTTATTCTGGGAGAAGTGTCGTGGGAGAATGATTATGAATGACCCATGAGTGGCACCTCTGACGGATGCCTTTGCTTCGTTGTCAGTCCGTCGAATCGTCGTTAGTGTACCAGTGCGAGAGCTTCATTAGGTCGCCGAGGAGCAATCTCATGCAAATAGTCGAGCGAGCAACGACTGTTCGAAAGGGTGATCAGGTCGCCGAGCGGCACTGGTGCAAACACTCGAGGCCGTAGCAACCAAGAGCACGGCGTCGTGCATTCATGCATGCATGCAGACGTGCATGCATGCAGACGTGTATACGTTATACGTGCAAACGTGCATACGTGCATGCATGCAGACGTGTATACGTTATACGTGCATACATCCGTATAAGTGCGTATGAGTGCATGCTCGGTGGAGGCTGCATGCATGTTGTTGCACTGCTTTGCGGTATTGCGGGGCTCTGCTTGACGAACCATCCGTCCCTGTCTTCTCAACTATCGTTTGGCCTGTTGCTGATTGATTGATTGATTGATTGATTGATGGGCAGAAGGGTGGCCGGGTAGGTGGGCGGATCGGTCACCCTCGCCTAAAATGAACAGATGGATGGAGGCTCCAAGTTGCTGAAAGTGGAATATTGCACTGCAGAGAAGAGCGAAGGGAAGTTGAGAGAGAGAGAGAGAGAGAGAGAGAGAGAGAGAGTCGTTGTCGACTACTATCATGATGTCTACTGGAATGTCGACGATACGGTAGAATGAACTGATTCGAAGGAGAAGTTGTAAACAGTACCAAGCGACCACACACACACACACACACACACACACACACACACA